TAGTTTTAAATGTATCAAACTATTAAAAATAAGGTAATGGTACATACTTCGGTCCATGTAAACAACCCAGTCACTCATTGTAATGAATGTCTCGGTTGTACCATGCTTCCACCATTTGTCGTACAATTGGAAAGCCAATGCACCATAAGCTTTGCATTCCAAAACCTCTTCCCTAATTCCACATTACGTCCCAAAAAGTTGTTAGTCGGAAACATAATCAAATCATTATAATTCGGCACTGTAAAATGAACTAATTGAACGTAATCCGTTAAACTTACTCCAAATCTTTAATCGTGAATGTAACTCTGTTTGTTTTCTTGTCATTAGAGAGCGTAAAGCTTTGATCTCTCACAACAGTTAACTCACCAACGTTTTCTAGGTAGCCTATGAGATCTACGAAAATTACCAAGCATAATTTAAGACAACAATTCAATCTACAAATAACTGCATATATAATTGATATGTAAGAAAGTTTATGTGCATATAAATACATTTTTGTTGACATACCTATTGGATAGTGTGAGCTATAGACTCCATTCATGACATCATTGTATCTCTTGAAGCATGTAGTGGTCTCTGAAAACACCATAACCATTGTGCAGGTCTGTTTCGCCGGTCAAGATGATGGTTTGTTCATTAACAGCGAATCGGAAACCAGGTGGTGAAAACTCCACATTAAAGCCAGTTATGATTTTCCATTTGTTCTCATGCATAACATCGTCGAAATGTTCATATAGATTTGTCCATGGATCTACAATTGCAGGTATTTTACCACCCTGAAAAGAAAAAAAAAATGTTATAGACAATGAATCTGATATTTCTTATTATATTACATGCCTGAATCGTATCATAACATTCATAATTAGCGATATAGAAACTTACATAATCATCTACTAACAGAAACCGTAAGATGTCACCACCTCCATCAACCATTTCGCTCCACTTTTTCAGAACCATAACCCTTATTGTCCAATCATTACGGTGAGGAGTAAGTTCGGAGATCTTTGAGATAGTGGCCATCTTTGAAACTATTTGATGAGGCTGCGTTTATACATAATATGTTATGTGTGGTTATTTATAGGAAGAGAGTTAGGTCATAGTCAATTCCTTGTCCGTCAATGGTAATATAATATTCTCGATGGGAAAGACAATATTTTCAAAATCTAATTCGATATTCACTGCTTTTTTGACCGTTTGGTATAATCCTTTGAATGAGTAGTAACTTGTTCTCTGTTTCCAAGATAAATAAGAGATGCCCATTGACTGTATATGTTTTGCAGGCAGCTTCTGCTCAGTTCCTAGAGGTGACAAAAGCTCTCCATGTAAGAGAAGTCTTTTCACCGAAAATTCAGCCTATTGCTATATAAGTCACGGTAAACACAGCTTGTTTATTGGCTTTATCATTATTTGGAATGTGTATATTTATGTGACTCTATTATCTTTATTGGCTTTATCATTATTTGGAAGGTGTATATTTATCTAAATATATTGATATAGCTGTCCTGAAGAATGTAAACCATATTAATTATGAAGGTTTGTTTCCTTATTTTTGGACGTAGATATTGAGACAATAGAAGTAGAAGACTCAAGCAATTATATAGACCGGGGTCAATGAAGAAAGATGCCTCAAATTTAGGCAAACAGAATTAGCATATCCAGAATTGACAATGTCATATTTGAAAAGTGAACATGGAGCAGAAACAAACCTCTCCCTAATAGTATTGAGCCTCTTTTGATCCTTCCTCACAGTGTTGTTTTTCATCCTTTCTGAGGCTCTTTTTCATCCGTGATATTGTTATTTGTATCGTAGTTTGGGAGAAGCTTTTGAGAGAGTGAAAGAATCAGACAGTGACATTTTTAGTGTATTTGTTTTCTTCTGGAAATGTATTTGACTTTTTTGAATGAAGCTTTATATAATATAGTTTTTCTGGAAAGTGTTTAACAGTCTACTGCTTATAAAAGAGATTGATCTGTAGGATTAAATAAATGCCATAACTCGTTAAGGCACTAACGAACCCATGGGAGGATAACATATAAATGAACCTCGGCAACACATAATTTCTGATAAAAAATAAGTTTGTAGTGTGAAGGTTTAATCTAATGAGGAAATGTTTGAAAGAAAAACAACTAAAGATTCTGGAAAACCTCTTTAGAAAACTACATTCATTGTCTTCTTCTTGGGCTTCCCATCCTTGTCAACAATCAAAATCTTCAAACCTTTCTTTGATGTCACCCTAGAGATTGCTACATAAAGCTGACCATGGGAGAATACAGGTCTTGGTAAAAAAATACCAACTTAGACAGAGATTGCCCTTGGCTCTTGTTTATAGTTATGGCAAAAGCAACGGCAAGGGGCAACTGTCTTCTCCTCATTTTAAACGGAAGTTTATCATCCGATGGTGTTATTAAAAGCCTTGGTATAAGAACTATCTCTCCTGTCTTCTCTCCAGTTATGACCTTTGCTTCAATCATAAAATCTGCTAGCTGTGTAATCTGTAACCTAGTTCCATTCATTAACCCTCCTATAGGATCAATATTTATAAGCAACATCACTGGACAGCCAATCTTCAACCTCAAACTGTGGTTAGGTAATCCAGATGCTCTTATACTGTTAAGAAATTCAGTGCTCAGAGCTTCGTCATTAACAGCTGCTACGTCGGAAGGGTCAATACTATCAGAACTTAGATATATCTTTTCCTCCCCTGAAACGAAGTAGAAAATTATTACATTCTAAAGACAATGTTAAACATTAGAGTCATATCTTATCTTGCATTCAACTATACTATTAAAACTAACCATTCAACTTGTCTAGCATATGTTGATCGATCATGTCAACATCTTCGTTTGTGGGACACAAAATAGCTCTTCCTTGAAAGAATATTGGGTCTTTGATCTGGTTCAGAAAAGAAGCATCCCCATAAATTTTCCGACTAATAGATTCGATAGGCTCCTCTTGGTCAGTGATAAGGAACTCATCAGGTATCTCTATTTCTGCCTCACCATCGTTAGGTTCGTTAATTTTGCCATCGCCGACATCAAGAATCCACTCTGAGAATTCCTTAATATCAGTTGCTTCTTCTTCACTCAACAACCCGGAGAGCAAATGCATATTCTTGGTCAGTTTCAAAACTTTACAGTGTTTCCACATATAAGAAGAGTTAAGTGCGGACAATACGATCTCAGCTCTTCCGGCTACAGGAATCACAGGAAGTACCTGCCTGAAGTCTGCTCCAAAAACAATAAATTTTCCTCCAAACGGCTTTCCATTTGTGTTACGCATTATATCAGCTAGACTTCGATCCAAAGACTCAAAACAATGCCTACTCATCATTGGAGCTTCATCCCATATAATAAGTTCTGCTTCCTTTACTAAGTTTTCAAGATCACAACCTTTCTTCATAGTACATGTCGTAAACTCATAAGGATTTATAGGTATACCAAACCTCGAATGAGCCGTCCTGCCCCCATGTAACAACAGAGATGCTATTCCACTTGAGGCAACATTCAAGACAATTTTACCTCTGTACCTGATTGCACTTGACAAAATCCTCCAGAGGAACGTCTTTCCAGTACCACCAAATCCATAAACCAAAAATACTCCTCCTTTTTTACCCAACACAGCACCGATAATATCATCGTATACTTTCCTCTATTCTAACGTGAGCTTCGGAAGATCTCTGTCGTGATCAGCTTTCATTTGCTCTCGATTGTAGCTTGTTTCATCGACAACTAAGACATTGTCTGTATCTTGATTCATTCCTTTTGGCTTAGGCATCGTTGTGAACCTTTTGAAATCACCGCCATTCCTTTTAATAATCTTCACAATTTCCTGAAGGGCTAACTCTGTTTTATCCTCGTCGCTTAATATCAACGCTGCATACATAAATTTAAAGAATGGTTGTTCTCGTCAGAGCACAAATACGCTTTAAACAATTGGAATGCAGAGATGTAGGTAATACCTGGTCTGTTAAGATGCCGTCTTCTATTGAATTCAATGTCAGCTGAGAGAATCTCCCAAGTACTATTCCAAACAACCTCAGGAGAAGTAAGACTATCTGAACTAAGCATGATGACAAAAAGCTGTCGCAGATCTGCAGGAGTACACGTAAAGCTTCTCCTGACTATGTCATCTACATACTCTTGGTCATTCTCTAGTAAACCCCTAGCATAACAGGCATCTTTGTAAGACGGATACAAAACACCATTGTACGTCTTGATATCATTAAAGCTCTCCAGACCTCGCACTACACCCAACAATACTCGAAGATAATAGGCATCTTCAACCTTTCTTGGAGCATAATTGATTCTTCCAATATAAAACCCTTGTTTCCTCTCTTTAAAACGTTTCTTGGATGAATCGTAGGTAAAGAAATTTGGGATCTGAACATAGGTTAGTGTCTTCGCCAACGCATTCACCTTGCATAGTTCAAACCAAGCTAGCATCATGGTATTGTGGATAAGCTTACGTGTGATGACCTTTTCCATTTTATCCTTGCCTTTGAAAAGTTATCAGCTGTTTTCCCTCTAGGTGGAATGTGAGTTTCTCAACACCTACGGATCTCCAATGTATGTTGTACTTGAAAATTCTCCAGACAGCTTCAAAAGCTCCGACAAATCTGTGTGGAACATCAAAAAGAAACGTCAAGATAAGAACAAAAAAAACATCAGAACCAACAGATAAACAAATATCATATTACCGGCAGTCAAAAAATTCTTTAATCTCGTTCTTCTTCTGAGCATTAGCATCTTTAACGGTATGTGCTCCATCCCTGTTAGCAGCATTTGGCGCTGCTACATTTGCTCTGCTTCCCTCGTTCACCGCAGCTACTTCTGGAGGCTCCACGGCCACAACTACTCGATCAGATCCTTTGTTTATTTACTTGAACAAATACTTAATAGAAGCCGACTGATTGCACCACTCCACATTGATATGAGCTTTGTATCTTATGGAAAGCACCTTATTGTATGGAATAACATATCTGTTATCGCATTTAAACCCATTCTTCTTTACAAATATGCCAGGCTGGTCACGTCTTCTGTAAACTGGATATCCTTCTCGGTTGATCGTAGTTCTTTCCGCATGACGTTTAGGGAATAACTTTGAACATTTACCATCCTCCATACACGGTGAATTGAGGTTAGCATGTCCGCAGGGTCCATGAATCATCATTTCTTTAACAACCTCATATAGGTCAGGCTCCTCTATCTTATCTGGTATCTCTGCTGATATGATCTTGTCAATGTCATCAGCTGTTGAAAACTTGCATTTTTGATCCATGAACAGCAGAATGTGTGCGTGTGGCAGACCTCTCTTTTGGAACTCAATGGTGTACATTGCTGCAATATCAGATCACAAAAAATATAAGTACACATAATAAATTACACTGGCATGTTCACCTTAAAGAATACTCTTTATTATGAGATACAATACTTACATGCTACGGTTTTACCCAAGGAGTTTATTGTCAATTAGGTCGCTCATCAAGCTCGTAAGTTTGGCTTCGTAAATCCTTGCAATAAGTTCTGGTCTATCAGTTGGACCAAGAGAAGTTCCCTCAAGCTCCCTTGTGAGTTCTGGCCACTTAGGATTGCATGTAAATGTAATGAAAAGATCTGGAAATCCAAAATGTCTGCATATGGCCATTGCATCGAAATACAACTCCCTCATATAGCGCGGTCCTCCTGTGAAAGTCGCTGGTAGGTAGAACTTATTACCTACTTCGTCCATGTCAACAACTCCTTTATCTTCAGACTGCTTGATAGAGTCGTAGGAGTCGGATCTTAAACTCGTCTGATTCATTTTCAAGTAAGATAATCTGTTTGACTCAATCATTGTGTAGATATCCACAAGATACTGCTGAAACAATCTTCTACAATGAAGAAGATGATTTGACTCGTTGTCTCTTTGCATTAGACGATATGCATGAAATTGCCTCATACTGATGTTCTCTTTTTTGGTCTTCTTTGACGCTTCAGAATCAGCTTTCTTGATTCCAAGCCTAAAACCATCTTCTCCATGTGCAAAAGGTATTGGATATTTCATTGGAATATAGCTAGGATGAATCTCGCTTATACGCTTGAGTTTTCCAGAACTTCTTTCGTGGAGAATAATATCGCGATTTTTTTCCATCTGCATATTGAAATCTCCTGGAATAATAGCAGCAACCTCAGACGATGTTGGAGTGTTATAAACTCGTCCATCCGATTTTCGATCACTTACTATCCTCATGTGGAATCTTTCATCGGGATTCATACTAAACCTTTCTCTTGCAGTCCTAAAACTTTTTATGTAAGGGTTGACTTCGTCGAGGGCATTAGTGATTGATGCAATGATTTCTGTCCTCAGTTTGTTCTGCTTCGTTGTGGCTCCGGCATTTTTCGCCTTGCTGGGAAACGAATGACATTTTCTTGATTAACTTCCAAGTAAGTATGTAAAATTATACGTCAATCAACTCTTTTGCACTTTGATTGAAAATTATTGGTTTAAGATTTACCTTAGGAAGGTGAGCCTGTTCTCCAACTCATTTTCCATGTCCACAATATACATCTGATAAAATTTTGGATCTTGACCAGGTTCCGGGACCATGCTCCCTATTAGGTGATAGTTTTCCCCATGAAGCTGGAACATCTGTGGCCCCTTTCCCTTTTTCACCGAACGGTCAACTTTTCCACCGAGTGAAGTCAGAGAGAAACTCATGTTGTAAGGCCTCATGTTTTTTTGAAAATGTCTACTAAGAGGATCAGAACCATAAATAAGTTTCTTAATTGCTTCCGGAGGCTCCTTTAGTGGAGGGAGTTTAACCTGACCCTGGGAACAACACAAAGAAAATGTAGGATTCTTTGTTCTACGTTTTCTGTTAAGGCGTTCTCCATACCAAAATTTGGCATTACAATACTGACATTTGTAGGTCATATCACCCTCGTCGTTGTATACTGAAAAAAGGAAATTGTTTTCAAAGAAATGTAAAATAATTATCTTATAAAGATATCAATGGGAGACGAATGCTAAGACAATCACGTACCAATTTTATCTTTCTCCTCTGTATTCGCTTTCTTCCTCTTCTTATAGATGGGCAAGTTTGATCTAGTATTCCTCCCCACGCTCTTTCTCCTAGAATTTGTTATGGTTGAAACTGCTTCCAAATTATCATTCTCCACTGTAAGGGGACCATTTGGACGATGATGGTGAACCGGTTCGTTACTTGTGATAAAGTTAGGATTATGTTCGTCATCAGTAGATTCTCCACTACTACATTCAAGGATATGTCGGATATCTCCTTCGTCGTATTCTGCAAAATAGATATGAGATCGCAGATGAAGCAAGAACATATATCATTGAAGTATCATATAGTTGGAATTATAAAAATATTAAATACCTTCTACAGGATATGAGACATCTTGCTGGTTTGTATTTTCTTCTTCCACAAATATATCATGAATGCGCGTCTCCATTGGGACTCCATTGACGATAGAAGATGAGAGTGTTGTATAATTCAAGTTTGTGATATCTTGCAAAACATTGTCTACGCCATTTGCAATTTTATCCGTTCTCCGTTTTTTACCAGGGTCTCTCGTTTTAGGACCTCCAAATAAACAAAATACAACTTTGTATCAAACTCTATCTTTTTTAATGTATTGATTATAATCATACATCATATAGTGATGTAAGCAGAAGTATACTCTCATATTTAAAAAGTAAAAGCATCAGTAACATTTATCACCTTTTTCTGTCTCTTTTCTAATCCTGGTAGGAGTCGGAGTGTAATCCAAGCTTCTGGGAATTAGTGGACTCTCTTGTTGATGCATGCTACTCCAGCTTTCCTGGATTCTGTTTGAGATAAAAGTGTTACGCATGACGAAGGACTCTGTGTGATTGCCATGTTGGGATTAATGTTTTCTTTTCTGGGTCCGCTCACGTACTTCCGCTTAACGGAAGCCGAAGACTTGGGAGAACATAACGCTTGACCTGTATATTTCAGTTAGCATTATGATCAAATTTCATAATGAAACAACATCTGGTTTTCTTTATATTACCTTTAGAAGGCTGTAATCTCTTCTTAGGCACCGCACTATTTTTCAATGTAGTGTCAAGAATTGGAGGAGGTAATGGATTTTGCATAATCTTGCTTTTTCCCACAGCGGACCCCGTAATTGACGTTCATGTCACGCAAGACTGTGGACTTAAAAATCGTTCTCCAGAGAGGTTGCTGATATTGTTTCCTGAATTACTAAGTTGTCCTGATGTAGCACCTCGTGGAATTCTTCTTTTACATCCTTTTCAGAATCACAAAATAATCAGACATCAGTGAGGAACTAATATTAATCTTTTATACAAAATCAATAACCAATATTTTGCCAAAACATATATTTGATGGTCATAAAGTACTTATTTCATATTGTCATAGGTCATCTTGTTACCTTTAGGTGTCTCATACTGGTTTCCATTAGTTGGAATGGGGTCACATTGGAGCTGGGATCTAGAAAGTGATCTATCACCAAGATGACCAAGAATTCTTGTAAAAACGGTGTCCAGAGAAATACATGATGGCGAACTTGACTCCCTTCCTGGTTTACGAATGATTTGCTCTTTGATTGTACCTTCCATTTTTCGTTTCATCGTACCCGAATCAATCATAGGAATTGTCTTCTCTTTAGCTATTCCTGTATTTTATTTCACAGAGGTTTTATTTCAGAGGTATGGAGATTGTAGCTATTGGTAAATGGAGTCTAAGATATGATAGTTTATCTGCGTAATTAAAACACAAAATTTCTTTCTAAATTCGAAAATAAATGGAGATTTAGAGATTCGTTAGCAGATTTCGCGTATATGGACAATCAATATTAAATATATTGGAAATCCAAGTCTTTTGCAAAATAAAAACAAACTCCCTTCCAAAAATTTATACAAAATTCATAGAATTTTTTAAAATATAATACGCGGGAAACTATATTGACACGTTACTGGATATTTGAAAATATATTTTGCAAAACATACTATAAACCCCTAAGCTAGATTCTTGAATAACGTTTATCTCATTTTGTTCATTCTCCTTAATGAATGATTCTCACCAAGGTTAAATTTATCTAAAATGTTAATAGTCTATAGTTTACTCTTCTTAGGTGATAAGGAAACTATACCGTTTTGAATTTTGAAATTATAATAAGGTCCTTTAAGATTTCTTGGTACATGTAAACTTACATAACATTTCAGGCGAAATGAGCAAAAAAATGTAAACAATATAAATTAAACAAATGAAACAGATATATATTAAACAAAGTTATCCGATTACATAACATAATAACTTCTTCATTCAAAACCAAAGAGAAGAGTTTAAGAAGATCTAGGAATAGAGATTAAGAAAATATCATTATGCGTGACAAAAAAGAGGAAGAGTACTAAACGGAACAACGTTGATGCAATTCAGAGTCCTAAAATGAGACAGGATTTAACATATCCAAAAAACATGTCTTTGACAGCTGATCAACATATGACAGCAGAAGACGATCCAGCGACTGAATTGTTGTCCTGTGGTTCTTCAACGTCAGGATGTAGAAATCTACAAAACAGATTAAAGCAACGGAGTATCCAATGGTCAAGATTCATTAATTTTAGTAGTATTATTCACTCATTGATAAGTCAAAAGCAAATCATACCTATGGCGCATAACATCCCGTTCCTCGATCCATGGATTGATGAAAATCCTAGCTAACCCTCCTTCACCAGTGACCAGAACCTCCCCTACGTTTACATCACGGAAAATCAATGCAAGTTTCACGCTATATCAATAGAAATCAAATCATGAAATTTAAAAATCAGTGTAAGAAAGGCAACTCACCATTGTGAAATGTGACTCTCCATTCACTCAGGACGCAAATAACGGTATCGGCTTGAGTAAAGGATCTACGTTGGATGTTAAAATCCGGAGCCAATTGTCCGTAAGCAACACAGTAAATTTCCTGGTTCCTATAATAACCATATGTTCTAGAATTATGGATCCATGATTTGAAAATACTAACATATCATGAAAGAGGGATTCAAAGTTCAAATGTTACCGGTGATCCTTTAGATGGAACGGGATACATGTCTTTTCCTCATTGTCTAGTTCAGTTGGCTGAAGTTTGCCAATGTATCCAACTACTCCAGTCAGATCTGAGTAGATATTTGCATACATTAGTCATATTAAGCACACATGCCAAAATGTAAACACATTAATTTTAAAACTTTACCAATGGGATAAGCAGCATCGACAACTCTGGTTATCACTTGATTGAAATCTGTGAAATCAAACATGTGACTATCCCTGAGTGAAGCAATAGGCCGTACTCCAATTGGTCCATCTAGAGTGATCATATACTGGTGTCGCGCTAGCATGTGTGTTGGGTGATTCCAGTTCTGATCACTTACATGAACATTTGTGATTTCTCTCCATTGATCTTCTGGTAAATCTCTCTTGAAACGATGAAAGTACTGGTGGCTTACAGTTGCATGTATCTTTTTCCCCTGAATAGATTAAAAACGATTTTCTGAATTAGGTAAGACGAAACTGGATCTAGGGAAATATCATAAGACTGAACCTTTGAACTTTGAATCATAAGAGGAATAATCTCGACTTTGAACTTACATATTTATCAGCAAGGATGAAATCCATCGCCGGATTTCCTTCGGAATCCTCCGTTTCCCTCCTTCTGTAAACTTTGACTCTTATGCTGGACTTCTTCCATGGAAGGAGTTTATCAAGACGACAAAACTCTGCCATGATGCAAGTGAATTGAAAGATCTCCAAATGATCTAGAGAATGCAATAGTATGAGAAACAAAAGTTCGAGAGAAATCAAGAACAGAGAAACGGAACAGGTTTTTTGTTCTGGAAATCTTGTAGACAAATAAATGTAGGGGCAGGCTCAATATATGAGAAACTGATTTTCAATCACACCGTATCGTGCTACTCCCGAAGAAAATCTTAATTTTTTTATATATTTCAAATCCATTTGCGGCTTTTCCTCTTTCCTTTTAATATTGATTAATGTTTCTTACCATAGTAAAAAAATTTCCGTATCATTCGTGTTCAAGAATCTTCATTATTGTTTCCTATAGGTAGATATAAATTGATTTTCAGGATACAGTATAAGAAAAGAATCAATGATTGTTCCCTAACCCTATATTAGAGGTTTGATATAATTTTTATATTTAAATTATTAATTACTAATTCTTGAACAGATTTGAAAGTATTGATCACGTATACGCATTCCACTTCCGATATATTCTTGCCTATTTACATTTCATGTATTTATTTACATTGTTCTACGAAGAAAACCTTAATTTTTTTATATATTTCAAATCCATTTGCGGCTTTTCCTCTTTCCTTTTAATATTGATTAATGTTTCTTACCATAGTAGAAAATTTTCCGTATCATTCGTGTTCAAGAATCTTCATTATTGTTTCCTATAGGTAGATATAAATTGATTTTCAGGATACAATATAAGAAAAGAATCAATGATTGTTCCCTAACCCTATATTAGAGGTTTGATATAATTTTTATATTTAAATTATTAATTACTAATTCTTGACCAGATTTGAAAGTATTGATCACGTATACGCATTCCACTTCAGATATATTCTTGCCTATTTACATCTCATGTATTTATTTACATTGTTCTACGAATTATAAGCACGGGTATATTGTTGAGAAGTTTATTATAAGGTCCTTAAGTTATTAAAATGTACCTGGCCCAAACAATTCGAGAACTCAGGCCCATAATCGGATGTCGTTGTGAATCAATACAACACCTCAAAAAAATTATGCAAGTCATAAAATGAATTGTCTCATCACATCAAGTAATTTGGTATGATTGTAAATTCTCAAAAATAATTCCGCCTTAATGAGTGAAAGAATATGATTATTTTGGAATAGTAGAACAAAATAAACCAAACTGAAACTTGATTATTTTAAAAGAAGGGATTACTGAAACCAAAACAAATGTAGGTTACCAAAACAAAGATAACAAAGAATGCCAAAACCAAGCTGTAGAAACAAAAAAAGGAAAAAACCACAAAAACATAATTTAAAAAAAAAAACCCAAGTCCATTGATTCTCTGCACTATGCTTAATGCTCCAATCATCCATTGACCTTCTCATCGCCAGCTGGGAGCTCTACATCGTTTTCACCATTGATATCTTCCAAGTCGATGACCTTGTTACAATGTTTCTTTGAAGCAGAACCATTATCTGTCACGCCCTCAACTTCATCTTTCTGTCTTTTGGACGAAGGTGTTGCACCAGCTTCGGAATTCTCCAAGTAATTGCTCTTCACCGCTGAGGCCTAATAGCCAAAAAAATAAGAATAATTGTTACAAATGTTTGAAGGACTTGCGAACATAGTTTCAAAAGTTAATGTTAAATGTAAAACCTCATCAGTAGACACAATTTGTGAAACTGTATCAACTCTACTAATCACATCATGAGAGCTATCTTTCTTGACGATTCCTTCTCCAGTATGCACTTTGTGAACCTTGTAAGTATCATTACCGTAGCTAATGTGTTCCTTCTCCACACCAACCAAGAACTCAAAAGTCTTCCCGACCAAATTACGCAAGGAGTCCGGCATTTGGTCAGGGTCTTGAATCTAGTAGGTCAAGATTTGAATAGGAACATAAGATGATGTAATAGATATAGATTTATAAACTTATATAGATTGTTACCAAATACAACGTACCTCATCAAAGGAACCATTCAGAAGAAAAGCAGCGGACTTTGTAACTATGCTCTCCGCAATATTGTCAAGTAGCATAATCCTTGCTTCGCCAGTACCATCGTACACGTTCAGATGAAGCTTGAACCTGTCAACACAAACCCTCAATGCGTTAGCATGACAATGATCTCATACTTGCAATGACGAATCTATAAACATAATATCAAATACTTACTTCCCTGCAACCTTCTTAGTGTTTGTTTTACACTGTTGACACCACCAGATGGGGACTTTAGATTTAGGTTTTGTTGATGCTTCCTTTTTCAAGTCTTTGCTGACTCGGTGTTGGCAGGTACCACAACCAAAATAATACCAGCCAAAGTCAGTGTCAATTGAACCGACGACACACACAATCCTCTTCTGTTCGATCTACATAATCATATATAAACATGATTATTCGTTTCGTCATAATCACAAATATATAATTTGTTATAGGGACGACATTGACGAACATACCTGGTCGCAATCCAGAAGCTCAGACACGGAACAAATCGCATAGCTATGCCATTCCTCTTCCTTTTTCTCAAGTTGAACCTGTAAGTCGGTGGCATCTTCTTCCTTAATAACAATGGTGAGGCCATCAGCTGGTAACCTACATTTAATATATCCCACAAATGATTGAATATAAAGGAAATATAGTTATACTTTACGCAACCTAATCTAAAATTCGATGTATTGACTCAGAAAGTGAACATGGAGCAGAAACAAACCTCTCCCTAAAATCGTTTGCCTCTGGACAATCAGGATTTATCATAAGCTTAGAAGCATCAAACGCATTGGTTATTTGCAATTGGCCTACAGATAAGTATAACATTGATTTGTCATGTTTCATTTAATATGTGATTTGTTTAGATG